CATGGATAAAAAGGATTATTTAAAAAAACCAAAAACAAATGTGCCAGCACTGAAAGTTAACATTCAGCAGCCTCAGAATTTACACAGAAATCAGCCTTTCCCAACTGCAGCTGTGGACTCAGTACTGTTTGTCTGCAGCCAGACAAGAAAAAAAAAGAAAGTAACAGGTATAGAAGTCAACAATGGATTATTTGTTCAGAAATTAGGACACAGATAATTCTATAGAAAGAGAAGAGCTCTTCAAAAATTATCTTAACGGTATATTCTAGAGATACCATCTAGGAACATCTACGTAATGTGGAAACTTAATGCACATCTCCCAAGGAGTTTAGTGAATGCTCTTCACCCCTCAGAAGGCTCGTCTCAAAACCAACAGCATCTTTGCTGAAGACAAACTAGAAATTATTTTTTTTAAATCCTTGGGATTCATCTGAGGAAGTGACTAAGAAAGTGTTGCCCTAGGCCTAAAGAAAAACCCCTCCTACTCCCAACCCCTAAAGCCTTACTTACTAAATACCGTCGGCACCAGCGAGTGTAAAACCTCCTGAGGTAGCAGAGATTTTACACAAATAAGCAGTGTTTTACTGCGCACACAGAACCGGCCCTAGGATTTGCATCCCCTTTCAGCAGGGCAGCACAGAACACAGCCTGGCGGAAGCTGCTGCTCAGCGTTAACTCGCTGTCTTTTGATTTTCCTATCTGCATCCCGAAGGCTCACCGCACAGAAAAAGGCTCGTGGAATTCCTGCGGTGGGAAGAGAAGCCACACGGCAGCATCAAAGTTAAGAGCAAGGAGTAAACAATGCATCGCAGCATTATAGCAAGATTAGAAAGGAAAAAAAAAGAAGGGGTGAGGGAAAAGTGAAGAGAAGCCGGTTCCTACAGGCGGCTCCGGGGGCTCCAGAGAGGACGGGGGGGAAGAGGGGGCAGTGACCCCAGCGGGGCCGGGGGAAAGGGCCTGTAGGGACAGGCTCCCGCTTTCCTTTGCTCCCCCTTCTGTAACCGGCTACAGAAACCACGACGGGGGACGGTGAGAAGCCGTGAAGCCCCGGGAAGAGCGCGGAGGCGAAACCCGGCGCCCCTGGGGGGTCACCAAACTCGGCGCCGGCTGCCCGCCCGTGCCACGGAACGTGCCTGCAATTAACCTCACATTAAATAACTCGTCTTGGCCCGGAGGGGTTCCGCGCGCTCCTCCCCGCCCCGGGAGGAGCCGGGCAGCCCCTTCCCCGCGGGGGTAACAAAGAAGCGGCGGCGCCAGCGGGAGCTGCCGCCTGAGGGGAGCCGGGGGGGGCCGCGCTTACTTCCTCTGGGCCTTGTCCTTCTTGGCTTTGGTCCGCTTCTTCCGGGCCTGCAGCGCCAGCACTGCGGAAGAGAAGGGGGGGGGAGAGAGGCGTGAGGGGCAGGAGGAGGTGGGTG